GGGGAGCCCCGCGGGGGGGGGCGGTTTGCAGCCCGGGCTGAATACCCGCGGAGCTCGGGTGTAGCGTTTCGTGCTAACGAGCTGCGCCGTTAATTAGCATCTGTTATTCGTGCTGTGCCTCTGTCGACGCCCGAGCCGGGGGGCGGGGTCCCGTTTGGGAAGCGCGGTCCGTGTTTTGGGGCAGCTCCTGCGCCTTTTGCACCCGACGTTAAGCTCAGCCCGGCCGGTGCTCGGAGCGTCCCTCGGGACCGGGGATGCTTCAAGTTGGGTTTGAAACAATCGGTACTGTCTTTGCTGGAATGCTTTTTGCTTGTGCAATGAGATTTATTATCATCTACTTGCGGCTGATTGTAAATCCAGCTGTGCTGCGTGAGGCGCGGGGAATAACAGTCGGTTCGGGGGTTGCTTAGTTCGGGGATGCTTTTTCTCAGCTGGCCAGCACTGCCCCCGCTCCCTTGTGTACATTCCTAACGAGCCGAATTCACCAGCACGTAAATAAATGGTTGAGTGAACCACGACTGTATAAATAAAAAGCAGCAGAAGTGATACTCGCCTTTAATTCAGGATGCACATCTGGTCTAAAGCTTCAGCTAGGAAATGGTGTTTTGTGGGGTTTTTTTTTGGTTTTTACAGATATATTTTTAGGTGTGGAGCTCTCTTACCCTTTAGTAGTCTGCTTCGCTATTGCAATCATCAGTTTTCCTTTTGGTTACAAAAGATGTTTTAAATTATGTTTAGAAATATGAGAGATAACAGGTCTCAGCTCTCTTTCAGACAAATACCTCGTTCACTCCCTGCTGATGTCTTTAAGGACAGCAGCTGAAAGACTGAACTTTAATCCCCAAAGGAAGTAAAAAGTTTATAATCCAGCTTGGTACTGCTCACAAAGCGTGCACAAATAGGCACAGAGATTAAATAAGGCAGTTTATCTAATGAGCAAATGGTGGGCTGAGACATTTACCAATATCTCGTGGTTATCTCTTGGGCATCGTAGCTAAACTGGCAGAAGGGCAGAGAACTGTGCAGTGGCAGGAAGGTACAGGGCTAGTGCTGTCCAAAGGCACACGGGGACCCTGACCCAAAACGTGCTGCTGAGCAGAACCTGTCTCCCAGCTCCCCCAGTGCTCCTATGCCTTTCTCCATCTGCAGCCTCTTCCCTTCTCTGAGTGTTACAGCACATTACTGGTTTTAGGCAAAACATCTTTGTTTATCCACTGGGTTCACCTCGCAGCCTGGTGTGTCCCGTTTTCTGCTCCTTCTTCATTCTGATGGTAACCTCCTGGAGCTTCGGGCAGATGAATAAAGCCTCAATGTGCAAAAGAGATCATTCCAGCCTCCTAATTTCTACCATCTTGGTTGTGTGGGGGTTTTTTTTTGTTTAATGTCTCAGAAAGAACTGATATACGATGCCTTGGTAAGTACAAAGATTTTATCTCTCTGAGTTTTTGTGAGATAATTGAGCCGCTAATCTCAATGTGTTCATACAGTGCGTGGCACGGCGGGGTTTTGCTCAGCAGGGCACTAACCCAGCAAGAAGAGTGGTGGTAGTAATCCAACACAGGTGATGAGCCTCTTATCTTGAGAGATAAAAACAAGGAATGGGGATCAGGCAGCTTTTTTCAGAGAATATTGCACCACCTGCCACTCCTAAGCAATTGGTTAAGCTCAGACCAATGTTACCGCAAACTTAATTTTAGCCCTATCTTGGAGATTTTCAAATGTTATTGGAGTGTTGCACTTTGTATAACTTGGACCTCAAGTCTGAAGTGAAGACCTCAGGCAAGCGAGGATGCCGGTGGTGAAGGCTGAGGGCCAGATCTCTCAGCATCTTCCAGGGGACCAGGGCTCAGTGTCCTCAGCACCGTGCCACCGGGGTGGCAGCTCCGCGTTGCTGGCTGGTCCTCACGGAGGAAGGGCAG